TTATAAAACGTCATCTCTTAAAAAAGATGAAAAAAGAGAATAAATTTCCAGCTTTATCGTCGAATTAAGACATTTTTTAAAGAATCGAAATATGCATGTTTAGAGATTTAATCGTCCAATAATACTCAGATTTTTCCTCTGTTTCATACTCGAGACAAATGAGTAAAGTCGTTCTTTATTCAGCGAAGACCGAGCAAAAAATATCACTACTTTCTTTACCATTTTCGGCTATTTCTCATTGCTGTAGATAAACATAATACATCATGAGGTATCTGATTTATCTGTCCATGGAGGAACTATGAAACTATGACATATAGCTTATTCCAGTATTATGTGCCCTGCTTGTCACATATAAACCGTAGTATATACCCTTTCTTTTCACCGATCCAAATACAAAATCTGAAAATGCTGAAGCTAGAAAACCCCGCAGACAACTATAATATTTTCGCTTATAAATTCTTGTACGATACACTAGAATTAAAATGTTTCTGCAACGATGTCACTGGTAAAAACTATTTGAATAAATGATGCTGATATTTCTTTAGGAGGAGCAGATATCCTCTTCGATATAGTGTCATTAACAGGCTTTTCATTACAAAACGCGAAACTGTTCTGTTTCGTTTATTTACAGCGAAAATTCGAGTAACCATCTTGCAAAAGAGCTTGATAATAAGCAATATTCAGGTAAGGCCGAAAAGGAATAAAATAATATGGAACATGTCTTAATAAAAAAAAAGGGAAAATTGCAACGGTTACTGCAAGACTCAATATTTAATTCATGGCATTAGTCGACCCTTTTATCTCCCTCCGGTGATTGACATATATTGATTTAACACCGAATTCTCTCTTCATGTGAGAGGAAGTCAATGAGTAAAAACAACAGAAAGATGGTTGCCTGTTTAATCTTGCTCAGGATTCAATACGTACGAACAAACCCATAATTTTATGTTTGCAAACAGTTGCATCCTTTCCGCACATGAATGGACGAAAAAGCTTTATGATTCAAACAATGAATGCACCGGGATGAAATCTCTACCACGATTGGACCGGAAACTTTTTTCACTTTTGATCGTAGACATGTCTATGGCGTAATTGGATGCATTTGCAAGAAATAAGTTCACCGTTACCATTAGAAACCTGATAAAGTTATTACGGGGAAAGGGGAAAAGTGGAATTTTAGGAATCTCTGAACGCAAAAGGAAATATATTAGAAAAGACTTTCATGCCATGTACAGTTTTTTAGCTTTATAAATTCACACGAGAGCTTGAAATGTAACTTCTCCTTAAAGTATTGATGCGCCTCTAACAATTAAGTAGTGAGAATGGAAAAACTGAACTGAAAGGTGATATTCTGTTGATTGAAAGCCACATTATTATCATTAATTTGCGAGGAAATTCAAGGAAAGCACTTACTATATCTTTCAAGCTTTGCTTGAATAATAAAAGGAAAGAGCCGGTCGGTATGTGGGATTGACCATATCCTTTGATAAATGTTTCAAACGTGATACGCAAAGCATTGCTACCATTGTTCCCTGACACCCCACTAAGAAGTTATAACATACTGAAATATTCTCAAAGAATTCTCTCGATCATTTTATGAACATTTACGTCATTTGTGTCTCTCGAAACCATTAACGTGGTGCCTAAAGCTAGACATATAATTGCGCCTCTAGAACTTGTCAAACAAGAGTTATGTTAAAATAGCAAATTTTGGAAAGATACTCAAAAATGACATTTAAAAGTTCCACCAATTTTCTAATTATTTGCGATAAAATTAATAACCGATTGTCTCACGATGAAGTCTCTTCGGACGTGGATCACGACGTGCATGGTAATCTTTTTCAGTCAAGCTAGAAACGCGTCACTTTATAAACCATTCTGCTCAGCTGTGATCGGTTGGAGTTCTACGGCTTTGATTGCCGCATTGGGAAGAAAGCTCTCCTCAGCGGTCTGCTCTACTCTCTTGATCGTCGGAATCCGTGCTTCAAGGATTTCTATTTACTATTGATGTTTGTGTCTCTCTTCCTGCGTGTGTAAAAATTGGGGATCACAATCAATAAACTTCACTTTGTTCCACAGCGGGAAATGTTTGGTTTTGTGGGCGCGTTCTAAACGGCGGAAGTCTGCGTCATAAATAATCGAATTTTCCAGTCATGCTCCTTATCCTCTTTTACATGGTTCTACCAGTCTCGCTGATGTCGCCTTTGCCATGCCCACAGGAAATCCTGAAAACCACGCCATCCTGCTTAGCCCGGTCAACGGCATATTTTGGCAACAGCACATCGATGGACGCAGCTTTACAAGCAGCTCAACAGAAACGGGAGATTTACATTAGCCTACCCAACTGCACGTCGCTAACACCTTGTCAGTTCCGCTGCCTTTTACAAAAAGGGAACGGTACATGCTGTTTTAAGCTAGGTTCTATGCTACGATAAAAACAAGTGCGGCCAAAAGATGCCGTTGACCCGACAGAAAAATAGAAGCAGGGTCGGTGAGAGAGGGAATTTGCATAAGTGTTTATGAAATGGCGAAAAGCACCACTCACAGCTTTGGAATTCCAAACAATCACAACTAAAGAGAACAGTTTGTAAGGTAACGGGTGCACAGTCGACCTTAACGCCTGAAAAAGATGCGCTGTCAGATGTAGTCAAAAGGTCGCAATCTATATCCGAAGTGACTTCATCGTAAGATATAAATCTCATTAGACGTTTTATAGTGCATTATCGCTGAGTATTTTTACGAGTTGTGCCGTATTTCTGAAGAGTCCGTAAGGCAAGTCAAAATACGAACAACGAGTCAAAATACTCAGCGATACTACA